GTGCTCAGCTAAAGGGTGAGAAGGCAAATGAGATAAGGGTATGAAGAATGGTCTGTAGACTTAACCCAGGAAGTATCTGCACTTGAAATAAAGTGCAATTTGATACCCCTAAAGATTTTCTACAAGGTGACTGGGTGTATGGGGGTTGGGACTGGGTGTATGGGGGTTGGGGGCGTGGCAGTGGACATGTGTGGTGTGACATCTGCTGCTCTCCTTACTTGCTCAGGAAGCCCTATGCACCCCCCTGCACACGCGCGCGCGCGCACACACACACTCGCCATCCCCTTCACTGAAAATGCAGTCGGGCCAGTACTCCAGAGAAGGCTGCCTGAGGGGGTCTGAAGGAGGAGACTTGGTCAGATAAAGAAGGTGCCCCAGAAATAATGCCTTTTTCCTGTGAAAGCTAGAGGAGGAGGCGGCACCGCTGCCGACACAGTAACATCAGCATCTCACAGCAGCCCCTTCGGGTCTTTCTTGTAAGTCCTTGCTAAGTACCGGTCTGGTATTAATAGTCCCTATGTGCCAGCAGCAGTATACCCTTAGAAGACTGGCTCAGTGTAGCCCAGACCCTCTCACCTCCCAGCACCCTCTCTGAGCCTAGTAATGTTCAACTTTTAATGTTACTGTGGCCTCTTAGGTACCCGCAGGCTAGCCAGGTCTGAGATATTTGGATTACACAGCAAACCTATTAAAAATAAAAGGTTTTTGTCTTATTATTTTACAATTCAAACCATGCTCCCTGCTCCTTTGCAGCTTGCATTCCCAATTTCTCAATGAAACACAGCATGGTGGAGTCACCTCACTGCTCCTCGCCCCACACTTGGCTTTGACCCAGTGCCCAACGCGTCAGCATGCCCTCACCTCTGGGAGCAGGCAACTAAAGGTTACACAACGTTTGTACTTTAGCATAAATGACACGGTTTCTTATTTGTTTTTTTGTTCAAGTTCTCAGTTGATTTTGAAGAGTGAGGTTGATTTTCTGCATGCAGCACAACACTGAGGGTTTGGAAAAGTTTTGGTCTAGGACAATGGTTGGCAAACTGCGGCTCGCGAGCCACACGCGGCTCTTTGGCCCCTCGAGTGTGGCTCTTCCACAAAATACTGACTTCTGCACACGGGCACGCATGTACAGTGAGATTGAAACTTCATGACCCATGTGCAGCAGTCGGTATTTTGTGGAAGAGCCACACTCAAGGGGCCAAAGAGCTGCGTGTGGCTCGCGAGCCACACGCGGCTCTTTGGCCCCTCGAGTGTGGCTCTTCCACAAAATACTGACTTCTGCACACGGGCACGCATGTACAGTGAGATTGAAACTTCATGACCCATGTGCAGCAGTCGGTATTTTGTGGAAGAGCCACACTCAAGGGGCCAAAGAGCTGCGTGTGGCTCGCGAGCCACAGTTTGCTGACCACTGGTCTAGGCAATCCACAACCAACATGGAAGTGTTTATAAAACCAAATGGTGAGCTTTGACCATTGAAGGGCCAGACAGGGGAGGGAAGGAGACACCACCTGATGCCGGGAGAGCCAACCACTGAGGAATCAGGGCGGGTCTGGGACACGCTGGAGGCAAGAGCAGTCAGCCATAGGGCAGGGCTCCCAGAACCCAGCAACGGCCCGGAGGGTGACACAGGGTGTGATGGGGTGGGCACAGCACTGCAAAACAGGGGCTGCTGGTCCAGCCCCTTGAACTCACTTTAGTTTGCACTGTGGTGACGGCCCTTCCCACCCGTCTCTGGCCCTGTGCCCTCGGACCTCTGATACCTGTTGATGCTCGGTTTCTGCTCGCTGGCCTCATTTCTCTCTTTCTAAGGTGTGGCCTCTTATGCACAAGTTCAGGGCTAATGCCAATGCTTCAAAGGGAGATTGCTCAAACTGAGCCTGAGCTGACACTCAGCAGGTAAACAGCAGCCTGGCATGCCAGCGGCTAAACATTTGGACCCTTGAGTTACACTCAACCTGGGGAGAGGTTTGCCCGGTGAGAGGTCAGGGGCGGGGTCAGGTCACTCCTTCCCCTCACGATCCATATTATTTCAATCGGTATTTTTCTTTCTCTC